CAGAATGCCTTTAATCTGATATCAACCTGGCTTCAATCACATACCCTGACACTCAATATATATAAAACTAAATACATCACCTTCTCAATTAGTTCAATATCACAACCCAAATCTCCAATTACATTAAAATCTCATCTCTGCATCAATCCATCCCAAATGTCCTGTAACTGTCCCACACTAGTACATGTTGACAACATTAAATATTTAGGAGTGGTCTTAGACCAATGTCTAACCTTCAGACTACATATAAATTTACTTGTAGGCCGTGTTCGGAAACTCATACATATATTTAAAACTTTACGACACGTAGCAAACCAAACTGTCATCCGCAACGTATACTATGCCCTTTGTCTTTCAATTGTAACTTACTGTATATCTTGCTGGGGTGGTGCACCAAAAACATTTATGAAACCACTAGAAGTAGCACACAGAGCTGTCCTGAAAGTAGCAACATTTAGACATATAATGTTCCCAACCAATACACTATATAAAGATTGTGGTGTTCTAAATGTGCGACAACTCTTTATACTCCACACGGTACTATTACAACACAAAAACACTCCATATAAAGAAATAAGCAAACGTCGTAAAGACAAAATATGCACCGTACCAAAACCACGCACATCTTCCACAAAAAAATTTTTTTACTACTTGGGCCCATATCTATATAATAAAATCAGCCTGAACTGCTCAATATATGGCTTATCACACTACATATGCAAAAAAAGACTCCAGAATTATCTCCAATATAAAACCTACGCTGAAACAGAGGATCTTATGTTATAACTTATATCATCTGCACCCTGACATATGAACCCAGACACAATCTCACACACACACATAAACACACACACACACACAAACACAATACTAACACTTGCATGCTTAACAGTAAAAAAAAAAAAAAAACGCAACTTGTATATGTATAACATTAACTAATGTAAATCCAAAGGGAAAGGGACTGTTATACCTTACTACAGGTTATTATATAACCTATCAAGGGTAGCAGTACTTCATCCACTTAGATTGTAATAATTGGTTATTTGTCTATTGCTATTGTTAAGTATGTACCTACTACAATCTCTTTTTGAAAATAAAGAAATTTATTATTATTATTATATTATTAAATAATAATAAATATAAGCACGCCTCCTTTAATCTACACATATATAAAAGGAAATGTCCTGACATACTGACTGACAGACAACGCACAACCTAAATCTCTTGTCGTAGAGATTTGAAATTTGGAGGGTAAATTCATCTTATTACGTAGACGTGTACCAAGAACGGATTTTTGGAAATTCCACCCCGATGGGGTTTAAAAGGGTGAAAATTTTTGCATGTAACTTCTTTGTTTTTGGACGTATATCGATGAAAATTGGTTGTTTAAGACTAACAGTAACATGTTATATTTTATCCTAAAACCTATCACTATAAGGGATGAAAATGAGAATGAAAGTTTTTTAAGTATTTTCACAAACATTTACAACAATTTACACTTTGACTTGACAGTTGCCAACAGTAGTCAATTTATGATGCCATATTAAAGACGAGTTTTTTTTTTGCAACCAGATATATTTAAAATAAAATGTAGTAAGAAAAGCCTTTAAGCTTTGCTATACTAGATGGCGTTTATTTTTAACTAAACTGTATTATCATTTTAAACAAAGAATTTCACGTTTTGTATAACCTTTACTTTGTGTTTTTCTTTCCATCTGTATTTCAAATTGGAAAATAGCTTGAAGATTTTCACAGAGGATCTGATAAATCTGATAAAGAAATGGAACAGATCAGAAATATATTGGACATTAAGTTATGTGTAAGTTAAGATTATGTCTAGCCGTTGCAGTTCCATAAATTAATAAAAATAGCATTTTGTTTTTACCTAAAGTAGTAAGTTTGACCAGGAGATTAAAACTATTGTAAAAATCTAACCTAAACATCCTTGGCTTTAGGCAAAATTTTAAAAACAGACAAGTAAATAAACTATTAAAAATAAATGAAACCGTGACTTATAGCATTGTGTTAAATTATAAAACAGTGTGTATATTCTATTACACACCTATGTTGTGATAAACAAAGACATTATACACTACCTGTACTAAACAATTCTACAATGAGACCAGGGCTAATGTTAGCTTTGTGATCTCGTCACACGGCATTTACCGGCACGTGTGAATATTAACGCCGGTGTATACGGTAAATTGTTATAATGACATCTGTGTACAACAAGCGAAGGGGTAATTTTGTTGAGCTGTGATTAATAAATGTACACATATACAGCCTTACATAACAGATTATTTCAGTAAGATAAACAAGTCACGTATATTCTATTTATATAAAAAAAAAGTTTTTGTATTTTTATTGTTTTTTTATATATTTTATATAAAAACAATCTGTTTAATGCTCATGTAATCCCGTAAAAGATATTTCTAAAAAAACACTTCTACGCGATTTTCGTAAGTTAATTTGTTTTTCGTTTTCAAAAATAATTATGAGACTATAATATAAAAGACATAAAATAATGATAAAACCTTCCCGTTAATTAACGCAAACTATTGTCTTCGTCTTCAAACTTTTTACAAGAGGTGTACTGATAAAGAAATTGACATCGAAAACGAACGAATAAGTTCTGCACAACTTCATATATAAATTAAATACTTCTATTCAAACGACTGCGATGTTGTACACTGCAAATTCTCAAAGAGAGACCAATATTAGAGTTCTATCCTTCTTGATATTAAAATTTAGCATTTTAACTGTTTTCAAGCGGCCACATCTCGCATGTAATTTGCTACAATTTATCACATTTTCATATAAAAAATCATAACATATAAGTGACTTTTATAAAGTAATTTTCAGTATTACTCATCACAGTCGTTATAATAATAAAGTTGTTTAGTATAGACGAATTGTGAGTGAAAAAGATTCGTCCAGACAGTATCACATGATTTTTTGTGTTAGTCACACGTTGGGCGCCACTGTATTCTTACATCGTCTACTCTGGTCGGCTTGGCGCCGAACTTTTCAGCCATCGAATTCCCTGTCTGGCTGTCAACAATAATTTTGTACTTCTCTTGGAAGGTGGAGACCCTCCCTAATACGTCTGCAAATGGAGGCTTTATAGATTTATTTAAAATGGCTTGCTCTTGCCGGTTTTCCGGTCTAGAAAAGTTTCCATTATTATTACACTATGTGTTTGAGTATCCGTCATACATTACTTGTAATAAAGTAACATAAATATTATAGTAGCATATACCGTTTCTTCGTCTGACAAAATATTTTTGCAGACATTTCGTTTCTGTCGATTACTTTCGCAGGATTCGGGAATTCTTTGTGAATACAGACATATTTCGTCGTTTCCGACGAGTGTCGCGGTAATCTCAGAGAAAATATATTAAGTGCGACGGAAGAGTGTCCCCTAAGTTAGTCTAAACAGAAATAACTTAGGGGACACTCTTCCGTCGACGCGTCTCTTAAACATTACGAAATTTAAGCACTCTGGGGAAGATTTTTTAAAAGGCTTTCTGAAACTCTTGACAATCTTACGAGTATATTAGAATTGTTTTTAACACAAGATTCTTAGGCGAACTCCATAGCCTCGCAAGTCAGTTCAAGCTGTCACCATCTCTGAGATTTTCGGATTAGATTCCCAGTCGGGTCACTGTAGTAAATGAAGTTTTGTACACTGACCCAACTGGTTCTGGTTGTTGTAGTTGTTGTTTGAGATTTCCTTACTAAAAGGTCAATCGCTTCATTCATGCCTCTTACGTCACTATTTTTGTCGTTTTATAGATCCTAAATGGTGTTATAGATAGGACTTATGCAAGTGGAGATCAATGCACGAAGAGCATTTTCAAGTGCAGTGGACAGGTCTGGTGGCACTGCATAGTCTTATTTATCCAAACGAATTTAAACCATAATTTATTAACATTAAAATTCAACCAACCGTTTTTATTTATTTTGAATAAAATTTTAAAGTGAAGATAATTTAAAATTACTTCTATTATTATTGTGATATTGAAGTTTCGTACTAAAGGCTATGCGTTTCTCACAAACGACAGTGTATTAATTATACAATGTGCTACAACATTACTAACTACGACATATTTACTCGCACATTTCGGGCTGTAGCCTTAAACAGAAGAAAACCATTAGTCAACCTGGGCTATATAACGACAGTACTTTATCAAAACCTCACTTGATTAGTGAATTACATATACTTGAGGCTTAGTGCTTACATCAATTACACCCAGAACATTGTGTAGGCACATATTCTTCCTACTACGGCATAATACTAAACACAAATAGCAAGTTCTCATATGGATAATATCATATGGATAAGTATTACTTTGTATTTTTATTTTGCTACGTAATGTTATGAGCTAGTATGAATTATAATGAGAAACGTCAAGTGTTCTTCATTGGCAAATAACCATTGTATATTACTAGTTTTGACGCATTTTTTTATTAAATGAATAGAGAAATAAGTATAATAACGAGATATGGATATATCGAGATAACCCATAGAAAATTTGATATGTTTGGCATTAAATTCGTCAAAAATATTGGAATGCTTTGGATAACCATGACAACAACAAATTAATATAAAACTTGGCACTGGGATGTGTAATATGGTTAAATAAAAGAGTAATAGAAATTTGAGTGAAGAATACACTCTTCGGAGAAGGTGATTGCTCAATCAAGCATCTCCTGTTTTGATGGCAACAGTTCGGAAGATTTACGAGTCGACCAAGCAATACATATACTTGTCCTGTTTAGGAAGCGCCTCCCCAACAAAATCTCTGATATGGGGCGAACCGTACGAAAAGAGGTGCACATTTGTGCACATCGCCTACCATAGAGGAAATTTGATGGGTTTTCTCTGTATTTTAAGTATCCCTCCAACTGGGAATGGGTCCGCATAATCTAAAGAATCTGCGCAGAGGAAGCGAAGCATACAGTAATGCATTGCTCATAATTAAAAAAAGAGTACTCACTTCGGACGGTTAAATTGATTCTATCTAAGAATGTCGTTTCATTCTCCACGCCGCACTCGTAGAGGCCGGCGTCATCTGTCCCTATCAAAGGTATGTACAGGCTTCCGTCCAACTGCAACAATAAACATGTTTTGTTATTAAAATTTATCAAAAAAGGTCGTCTTAAGAGATCAATCTATTAAGGTTATTTGTCAAATGGGGGTAAATACAAACGTAGAATTTGTAAATGAATGTGTAAATGATGATTGCAGCTGTTTATTTATTTGTGTACAATGCAGAGGAATTTTGTACTTTGATAAGGTGTACCAAAATTTCAGAAATATTTTAAATCCCTATTCTGGCCCTGCATGCTAATAAACAAAATCCCTGCTCCAGTTATAGATGAAAGAGTTGATAACTCTTTCATTACGGCTGGGTATGAAGATATTTATGCTTGTTTCTATTTCATAGCGGCAAATATGAAATAGATAAGGTTTTTTTTTACTTGTAAACCATTACGATTATTGTAAAAGCTCTGTAAAACTCAGCTACAAAGTGACTCACACATTTACCAATTTTTTTAAATAATATAATATAGGATCTTGACGGGAAGAAATAAAAAAACATGGTAAATTTTTGCTGTTACTTTAACATTCTTATTTTCGTTGTCCTATTCAATAGCCTTACATATATTATGAGTTTTCTTATTTGCATGGACATTATTTCTATGTGGGTTAAATTAAAGTGATTGGTATACATGTCTTAATGTTCCCTCTACATGGGGCAAACGCGCTGTCTATGGATGGCATCATGAAAAATGAATACGACGAAAGTGTACCTAAAACTATTGTTACTAGTTATTGCTTACAAAAAAGGCAAAAATATATGAGATACATCAAAACTAATTGCATCTCTGTACTCTTATAGATAGATAGATAATTCATTCACATCATGTGATTTTTCAAAATTTAACCACTAATACTTGAATTTACTCAAATATACAAGTCGATATCGATACTGGTGGCGAATCAAATGAAGCTCACTATTTCACCGTATCGTGTCGACCTATAACGGCGAGTATGTGTTACGTAATATGCTTCGATCTTTGCCGGGTTTATGTAATACCTGATACCTACTTCAACAATAGCGTTTTGGAATTGCCAAAGAGGAATAAGAACATTTTTATGGAACAAAACCGCAGTTTCATTAAGCCCCCAAACTCTCAGTGGTAAGCCAAATACTTGTCACAGGAGATTACGAGAAGGTCCAAATTTGTCCATTCCCGGGATTGAGAGAGTTTTCCTACTAATAATATTATTATTTGAAGTATATTAGAGACAATAAAACTGTTCCTATGATAATACGCAGGGTGACTGCAGAATATCCAATTATAATAAATCTATTGGTATTTTTCCGTCGATATATTCATTTAAAACCAGTTGACATGGAAGATTAGCTTAAAGTACTCCTCCTCATGAAGGATTGAGGTACATACCGCCTTATCCTTTTCTTACGCTCAGAACCGCCAGTTTGTAGAGCAAGACAGATTGCGGGTGTGCGATAGCACGCTACGAAATCCTCGATATATAAAGGAAAGTGTCACTATTACAGAGAGCGAGTGCAAATCCCTGCGGCAACAAGGACAAGTGGTGCACAACATCTAAAATAATCACAGTGAAATATTGTTTTAATTTGTGTTTTATATAACCAACCTTCTTTGTGTTATTAAAGTACTTTTACTTTTTAATTATTCCTTACTTTGATAATATTAAAATAGTTTTTATGCTCACATTCGTATATTAGTATATTATGTATTAATTATACGAGGTTAGCTACATTAAATCACCAGTGGCCTCGCCACTGAACCTTGGCAATGGATCGATATCCAATTCATTGATCATCCCTGGTGTTGGGGTCATTATTTTAGTCAGGGTTCGAAAAAATACGATTATTATCAACACCGTCACTATCAACATCAATGTTATCCCAAGACTATTGTTTAAAACATAGATTATTTATTTATGAAACAAATTGTGTATAATTTTAAACATTGGCATTAAAAAAAAATTAAGTTATCTCTTTTAAAATATAGGATATACATATCAAAAATTAACGTAAAGCAATAAAATTCATTTTTACTAATATTATAAAACTGAAGAGTTTGTTTGTTTGTTTCTTTGAACGCGCTAATCTCAGGAATTACTGGTTCGAATTGAAAAAATATTTTTGTGTTGAATAGACCATTTATCGAGGAAGGCTTTAGGCTATATAACATCACGCTGCAACTATTAGGAGCGAAGAAATAATGGAACATGTGGAAAAAACGGGAAAAATGATTCATCCTTGAGGGCTTCTGTTGCGTGCGCTGCGAAAACGGTTCAAGATACCATATATATATTTGGTATCTTGAACCGTTTTCGCAGCGCACGCAACAGACAATAAAACTGTTCCTATGATAATACGCATGATACGCATTCCTATGATAATATTGTCTCGGGTCTGGGTGTTGTGGTACCTTCGTTGTCTCAGATACTCCATAATATGGGGCCTTTGGTTACTTATCTTGGAATTTGAGCAATGTATGCGATGTTGTTTAATATTTATTATTACCCTGCATGTTTCCTATGCATTTTTTCACATTAATACTTACTTTGAAACGGAAAATTTATAAACTACGATTTATCAAGATGTACTAAAGTTAAAATTAATATCATAACAAAAAAACAGGAAATTTACAGTACAATGAAGTGTAAATACGCTGAGGCTGAGAAAAGATCAATCTGAGCCAAAGCAGGTGGACTTAAAGAATTTTCTTTATACCTAGCAATAAATGTCAGTGACATAAGAATTCTTCGGAATTCTCCCACTCACATTGGTGTATGAAGATACCAGTATTCATACAAACAATTCAAAAATTCGTTTCTTTCTATAAAAATGTTTACTCGCAAATGGAAATTTGAATACACCATTGTACCTACCCATTTTCCATTTATAGTATCAAAAGCATATGTGTTATTAAACTAACCAAATCTATTGTGTGTCAAACAAAAGGATGAATAATGTCATTGGGTTCGAGCTCCAAATATATCATGTTGATTTATTAACTAAAAGCTGATCCTTATATCAGTCTCCATTTTAGCTATAAGGATTTTTTTGTATCAGTATTACATACATAAGTATATTTCTTAGCTTTTTAATAACTTTATCACTAAAATAAAACTATACGATGAAATCTCACACACATTGTTCATACATTGCTTTAATTAAAAATTGGGAAAGTCATATTTTTATATTCTTACTTTTATAGCAATTGTTCCCGAGACGATGCAGATGAATTTGCCGGTAGTAACTAGTTAAAGCATTAATTCTAGTTACACGTAATGGACGGGACGTAGCTGATATACTGCCTCAGAACTTTCAAGAGGTACTCAGTTAAAACACCGTAAGATTTAATTATTAATTATTCTCGTGTTTAAACTTAACTAGAGATGCACTGAATATTCGTTTGGTATTCGGTATTCGGCATCTTTTTCAGCATTCGTATTTAGCCGAATTATTCGGATGAGTATTTATATTCGTTATACAACTAAAATACATAACTTATTTTTTAAGATTTATATTGAAAATCAAAGAAATGCTATGAAATCATAAATATTTATTTTATAAACTATAGTCAACATTTATTTTAAACATTAAATCAGCATTTATTTTTGACCTTCAAATCAAACTTTTAAATAGTCAACGAATACACTTAAAGACGTAAATTGACAAAAATGGACACTTTAACAGAAATATTATATAGAATCAGAGAGATACTGTAAAATATAATCGAGATCGGAAATTAAAGCAAAAAGAAACATACACATCCTAATATTTATAATCAATTAATGTTAAACTATAGTGCAGAAACTCCGATGTATTAGGTGCTCGGCCCTCTTCGGCAAGAGACTATTGCGTAATTCTTCATATAGGTTCCTTGCATCAGAAATGATTGATCGCTATATACACACAATTAACAGGAGCACTGAGAGACACTCTGGCTAGACAAAAACAATTAATGGATAAACCAAATAATTCGACCAAAAATCCGGTTCGGTTAAGTTTAAACCGAAAACTATTCAGTATTCGGTTAGTCAGCGAAACCACTATTCGGCACATCTCTTACCTTAACAGCTTAAAGTTTTGTTTATTGTTAATAAAGATACACAGGAGAGTAATAAATTCTCGTTTAGAGACCACCTTATGTAACCGTGAATTATCATTTGCCATATTACAAAATAAAGGAATACTAAGTTCCTTATGAAACTTCAAGATTAAAGTGTGCGAATTAAGAGAGAACGTAACAATATCAGCAGGTGGCAACATATGGCTGAGACCGCAAAAAAATGTAACACAGTCTTCTATGCAAGCGCACACACTAGCAGACACAAAACGCGAACCGTGATCCTTTGTGGAACGAGTATCTGGTTTTGGTTTTCTATGTATACCTAAGCCGCTTGCCGCCTAAGATTTTGTGGTACAATCGATTCAGGTAGAGGTAGGTTTGATTAGAGGAGATTATACTAGTTAACAGATGGCTTAGAATATCAAAAGCAATCTGTAAAAGTGACATGATTGACCCGCTAAACACTTTTAGGTAGGTATACTTCTGCTGTTTCGTGAAAACTGGTTAGTTCTTATATTATGTATAAAAATAAGGACATTCTAATAAAGTATATAAAATGCAAAGGTATGAAAATTTAACTACTACACTATCACAAGAAAACACATCATAAGGTCACGATAATGTTATAATGATCAAGTAAACGAGCAGGGGGTGGCACACAGACGCGGGTATGGCTTATCGCATATATTTACGACAGGGGTAAAGTGAAAATATGGTAGCGCTATGAACTCATTTGTTGTCACAGATTCTTAACAAAGAAATTCTACTTCGTCAGCCTTTTTCGTATCTGCGTTTGACGATATAGACATTCAGGATGTTGTGACAAAGCACAACACTACCCAAGTAGCCAAAAAATGTTGTTATCGATAATAAAGCTAGAAATATTACCCTTATAAAGACTATGTAAACAGTATTAATACGGCATTTGGGTACAAATTATAAGGATGTTAGTCTTGTAGTCGTTTTATAATTATCATATAATAAGCAATTATTTCTCATAATTTCCACAAACAATCAATGGCATTGCGAATTTGTCCTGAAAAAGTATTAAATTTGCTTTTATATAGCAAAATGCTGCTGTGATTTTGCGTTTTTAATAGCGCGTAATGACATATTATTTATTCCATTTTACTATAATAGCGTGTGTGTGTGTAGTAATGACATAGTATTTTTTCCATTTTACTACTGCTTAAAATTGACGCCATACTAAAAGTGAAATTATATTTAATACGTAGTTTATACATAGATATTGACGTGGCATTTTTTATCGATAATTCAAGTAAGTTTTATACATTTTTTTTAATGCACCCTTTCAATTATTTCCTCTTTTATATTAAAATAGTAGTTTTATTATCGATACTTTACAATAGGAGCAATCAGTAAGTGTGAGGCATTTATAAAACATGTACACAGCGAACGACCTTAAGAAAGTGTTGACATTGCAAAAACCCCAACCATATTGCAAGTTCAGGGTTCTATTCTAACTAAAAACACTTTTCGCTATATTGGTAGTTATTTATAATTTGGATTTCAACTTTTACATTCTTGTTTTCTAACCAATTGGTGAATTGTGGATGTAGACCGCTTCCTGACAAAAGATGATTTCCGCAAATTGTTCACAGAAGTGAGAAGGCTTTGGAATTTTACTCATTTTTATTAAGTCAAACGTGCTTTATTGTTATTTTATGTTAATAAATTTTGGTGCCAGTTTTGTCAATTTGTAATTTACGACACTACATTAACGAAGAATATGAATTTTGTTATAATAATCTCTGATTATCATTATTAAAATTGTGATTTTGTAATATTTTATTTTGCAGCTAGATTGCCCTAAGAAGTTTCATCTCAGAAAAACAATTTAGGCTTGTCTGAGATGGAAAAGCTCTGTGTGGGATATTAAGCTCCACGGCCCAGCTGGCTGTGTTGCTACGGAACTCATCTTTTTTCATATTAATGCTGTAAACATTACTAGAACTAAATTTATTAATCTAAAATTATTATCATCTTGATGATTCGTTAAATGTTCTTGTAATGTTTCTGTTAATAATTCTGCGGTTCCCATAGAATTTTAATTCACCTTTTCTGTGAACGAACTAGTTGTTAAGGGTGAAGACTTCGATATCCCTAGATAATGAGCTTTCATCATATCTTGATATATCTTTTTTAACTTCCGTCCGTAAACACTATTTCGTTTAATTATTTTTCATTTTTATAGCAAGTACCTAATAAATGTATTCAAGAATACTATAAGAATAATACTCTTATTAAGGTTACAAAAAGGTATGGTGGAAACATTGATTCTTTGTAGCAGTTGTATAAAATGTCATTAGGCAAATGTTTTGAAGTAGCTATTAGATGTATAATTACAAGGGGATTGGTCATATAAAAGCTTTGTTAAATTTAAAGTAGTATGTGGCATATGCGGCTATAAGGCATATTAATTACATGGCGAAATTAACTGTTTTGTGCTACTATGTGGCTGTAGGTTTTATAAAACCTAGGTAACTCCGATGTATAAGCGTTAATACGTTTGACTAACAAAGGTAATATACCATATTTATTTATTTATTTATTCTTTATTGCCTAACTAAGGACAAATGGCGGACTTAATGCCATAGAGGCATTCTCTCCCAGTCAACCAGTTAGATTGTACAGAACAGTAGTAGGCGGTAAAGATTAAAAACGGTACATAAAATTAGCAAAAAATAATGCATTTATAAGGTAAATTGTTTAGGTTATGCTTTAATAACACTTGTGTAAGAATTCTACCCGTGTAATTCTTTTATTAAAGATATTTTGTAACTTGGGTATATCCCAATATAAAAATAAGATTTGGGGACATGCTAATTAGGGAATGCAATCTCGCGAGATTGGGACTCGGGCGATATCTCGCCTGTTTATGAATATCAATACCGCGAGATCTCGCGAGATTGGCATTTTTTTTGTTTACTGTTTTACTGTAATATTTATTCTAATCACAATATTTGAATAAATAAGAAATAATATATCGGAATATTTCTAAAAAGATTATGTATTTAACATTGTTTGACGCGATTATATTTTTTATCTAAAACCTTTAAAAGAGTAATTACTGCATAACAATCTTGGAAATGGCTCCAACATTTTCATGACATTAAATATGCAGGGGCTTTCAGAGGCGATTAATCGATTTAGTTAGGTTGAGTTTTTTTTATTTTATAAAAGTGCCAAGTTAAGCTTAGTCATCCAGGTACGAATCTTTTAAGGAACTAAACTTTGACGTATCTTATCAAATACGAGATGAAATAAACAACGAAAAGTTTAATTATAATATATAGTTTTTTATAATACATGGTTTTAACAAAAATACAAAAACTAAAAAAGAAATCATCAACTAAGTTGAATTGACTATTAAACTGAGATTATTATCAATGGAAGAAAACTATGGGTACCCAGAGATTTAGTAGAAATAAGTGAATAAATTAACAAAATATACCAATCAATTTAAAGGCTTATTCACTTCACTTCACAATTTCACAATTATTCGCAATCACGTTACGAATTATTTTGAAAGTAAAACTACGCCTTTGAAACTCCCGGGACTCGCATAATTTCGCGCTGCTGCACTTAGAATAAATCATTTTTATGCTAGAGTGCAATCTTGTTAAACTCGCGAGACCTCGCCCAAGATCAATCTCGCTAAAAAGGCAGAGATCTCGCGAGAACGAGATTGCATATATGCTTATCCTTCTTCCTAGGAATGGATTACCAGTGATAACAGGTACAAATAATAATTGTACAAAAGAGTGTGAGAATCTCTTTTTTTTTACCAACATTATTAAATATAGAAGAGATGAATCGTAAATATTACTATAGGTTGAAATATCGTTATTCTGTTAACGAGTAATTACAGTAACTACATCCAAATAGATTTGCGGGGTCGATCGTTTACTACAGCGATCCACATCCGGACCGCGGAAGGTAGTACTTGGGACCGGTAAGTATTGTTGAATATAGCTGTGCATATGTTACTTAAATGTGCGAGGGCTGCAGTCTCATTGGATCCTCTTTTCGACAAAACTGAGGAGCATACACGACTCCAGAAAAATAAAAATGGTTCAATATTTTTTTTTGACTTGATTTAGTGTATTTACCTTGTGAGAGATAAAATGCGAAAATTAAATCAGCAAAAAGTTCGGGACAATGAATACAAGAGTTTACTTAGTGTGGTGTGGCAGCGGCGGAAGAAGAGAAAGAAAAAAACGCGGAAATTACTTAATGTAAAACTTAACTTACATCATAGCATATCTCTATATCATATAACAAAAACTGTTAAATATCTCCAATTGATTATGTACCATAAAATGTTGAATATAAAATTCGAAATTGATTGCGGAAACCTCAGGATTCATAATCAATATACATGGCATCATAAAGGTAGGTATGATACTCAAGTCAACACATTGTGAATTACTAAGTTTTATACGTTTATATATAATGTAACTCGGGGCGGTGTAAAAACGTCCTAAAACAAGTACAATACTGATATTGATGAGCATAGTTTACCCCAAACACATACCTTACAGAAACTTTACGACGAGTCACGATCCGAAGACTGCAATCTACTATGGTAAACTTTATCCACTTTGTGAACTGTTCTGTTACTAAGTTTGGCGAGTTGGTGGAAATAATACTACTGGATAAGGTTTACGATGTTACCATGATATATATTTTGAAAATAACTTGTTCTGACTTATTCATTAACGGCGAACGTAAATTATTGAGTTGAATCCATGGTTCTATGATTAGTAAATTTATAGAGGTGAAATTTTATATGGATGTCCGTCAGTTTTGAAATTAGAAACATGAGTTGTGATTTTTTTGAATACTGACAAAAAATAATAAAAACCCGTTTGAGCGTTTAATGGGATGTAATAAAAGTTCAAAATGTATGTAGAGGAAAATAATGTAGCCGCTGGCGGAAAGATAGTGATCTACAAAAGATGGCTCGATCATCGTAATATACAAATACATATTTAAATATGCAGAAACTCTAATGTATATTACAGCCACTAACAATGAGAATAATAATAATAATAAACATTTATTCCAGAAAAATATTTCCATATCCTATTATCTACCATCAGTCCTGTTTTGTGGTTCTCCATTGCAATGTGTAGATAAGTTTAAATACCTGGGTCTCTGGGTCGCAGCTTCTATGTTAGATGATGTGGATATAGAAAGAGAACGCAGGCCTTTGTAATATGTTGGCACGGAGATTGCCACGTTGCAGTCGCCAAGTTAAACTAACTCTATATAGAGCATACTGTCCAACACTCTACAAGTGTAGTCTTTAGGCCAATTCCACGTGATGACGAGCTTACAGCGCTCTGCGTGTTCAGTACAATAATGCGTTTAGGATCGTGTTCCAGCTGCCACGGTGTTGCAGTGCTTCAACTATGTTTTCACAGCATAATACGGAATATCATTTACTAAACTGTTTATTCGGAAGCTATACTAATAATATATGGAAATATATGGGATGGACTCCCAATACAGAGTGCCAGGGACAAAGTGGATTTTTTTAGGCATTTTTCATAAATAATATTTTTCAATGTAGCAATGTTAATTCAAAATTGATCAAATATAATTACTATTTCAGGTGGTAGGCTCGTTTCATTGTTTAATTTATCCCATAGTACATCATGTGGCACAAGATCGAATGCTTTTGATAATTCAAAAAAACAACAGTACATAGGTGTTTTAAAATCTGTGTAGTATCGAACAGTTGCTTGAGACATAGCATAGCGGTTTCAGTGGACAAATTGGGCATAAACCCGAACTGTGCATCGTGAAGGTTAATGTTTTTACCCAACACCTCGTCAAGCAGAGTGTCGTGCACTAGTGAGATTGATCTGCAGTTCTAAAGTCAAAGACATTACCAGTTTTATTTTTAACTATTGGGACCACAATCGTGTACATAACTTAATTCGGTAGGTAGATGTGACGTATACATATGTAGATTGAAAAACATCGACAGAACCCTAGGCAAATGTTTTCTAGACTATCTCAGATGTTCAATAGTGAGGGAGTCGTGACCGGGCGACTTTCCTCTGACCATTTTGTTTATGACCGATGCTACTTGCTTCGCGTTAAATTGAATCGAAAGATCCTTAATGATAGCCTCCGCGTCAACACGCCGTAGGGTGTTACGGAGGTTCCTCTCTGAAATTACGCCGGAACACATCCGCTTTATTTTTGGGCTCATGTTCACCAGCCACACCAGGTCTAGCATTCATTGTATTTTTCCAATATTTGCAGAACTCTTTATCTACATACATGATTTTTAGCAATTATGTTTCATTCATCTTATTTTAATTTTTCCTTCAAAATTCTTTTACTGAATGAGGGTTTCTTTTACTGAACATTAACCACCGTTTATAGCAAAACCGAGCCTTCCCATGCGCGCTACTTACATGTTTATTTCAACCTATTATATTAGTTTTCTTTCAAGATTTTTATTGATTTTTGCCTGCATTCAACAGCCTGTTATAGTATGGTATAGAAATCTGAAAAAGGCTTACCAGGGTGTTTTGAAATCACCCAAAATAAATACGAACTCATTATTAGTCATTATTAGTTTCTATTGTAGAATTTATGTCATCTAAACTCTCCGTTAGTTCTAATAAATTATCAGACGAGTCCGTAGGCATATACACGTAGATAACTAAAATCGAGCGATCACTTAATACAAATTTTATAACTGATAGGTGTACACGTGAAACCGCCTTTCGCCATAATATGGTCACTCCACCACATGGTCTTCCTCGTAGCATACCAAAGGCCGTATCTACTGCTGGTTTTCCAGTAAAACCAAAACCATTATTAATGCTTTCCAAGAAATCAATGTCGTGAAGCGAATGCCAGGTCTCCCGGAGGGCGATTATATCTGCTTGGGTACATAATTTCCTAATACAATCCACTGAAAAGAGGAAAGATAAGATTTTTTGTTTCTTTACCCAAAACTACTAGACTGAATTAAAAAAATCTTACACCAATAAAAAGCTACGTTAACAGCGACAAACATACGTAATTTTGTTAATTATATAAATAAATAATTATAAGCGTCATTAAGACTGTGGGGTCAACCAGTATAGTTCAAAG